CCTCCTGCTCCAAGCCCCTCCTGTCTCCTCCCTGGCTCCTCCCTCCTTCGTCACCTACCTGGACTCTGTCTGCTGGCCCCCTCCCAGGTGTCCGCCCTCCTCCAGAACCTCCTCCTTAGTTCCCACCCATCCCCCCCCCCCTCTGTTGTTCTACGGTGCGAGGACGCACTTTCCGGGAGGGGGGCGATATGTCAGGATTCTGGACTGTTCTGTGTCGTGTTTTGCCCCTGTTTCTGTTCCTGTTTTTCCTTATTTGGTCATGTTCCTGTCCTCGTTTAGTTTGATTATGATTCCTGACACCTGTGTTTAGTAATTATCCCTTGTATTTAAGTTCCTGTTTGTTCAGTCTTCCTTTGTCGGTTCTACTCGTTGGATGTTGTGTAATTCCCTGTGTTTCCAAGGATTAAAGACTGTTTATGTACTCCACGTCTCTTTGATCCTCGCTCCACGCTCCTCCCAGCACAGATCGTGACACTTGTTTTATTATAATCTACTTTATGGTACTGCTAGTCAGGTTTATTTAGTGTGAAACTCTGCAGCACAATGAGAAACAGCATCTTTGAGGCAGTATGATAGCTTGTACATTACCAGTGATTTGATTGTGAGCATGTTGAGAGCCACAAACAGTATTTTTTTTTTAATTACTGCAATCTGTTGAAAGCAACTCATGATGATAATAATATACTGTAGATTGTGCTCATGGTGGCAGCTAAATACAAGCACCTACATCTGTCAGTAGTTTACTGGGAAACCGCTCACACTGATGAAGCATAAACATAAACGAGAACGGTTTAATAACTGAAAAATATAGGCCTAGTGAAACACAGAGGCAAGCTGGATTTTACACATCTGTAAAATCTGGCACTGTAAAAGCAGTGAGGCGCATTTGGCAGATGTGTCGCACATATGGGCTGAACTGGGCCAGACACATCCATGCGGTTCAGGCTTGGGTTTGGGTTGAAAAGTGTTACGGAGTGTTTTAGTGGGATAGATGTGGAGACGAGAATATCTGTAGCGGCCAAGGAGAGGGTGACGGTTGTTTTCAATTTATTTAGTGTGTGTTACGGGCTCTATTAAACACTTATCTCCTTCTTTCCTGAGCAGTTAATGTGTGTGTGTGTGTGTGTCAGCGGTGAGAAACAGAGTGGGATGTGTAAAGTTTCTGTCACACATCATTAATCAGTGTGAGTGTGTTTTCTTAGTGAACGAGGATGTGACAAGCATTGACCGCAGGACACGCCTCAGATATGACACGTTTTCACACACACAACCTTCACTGCAAGCTGTGCTAATACTGAATAGCAGGGGTGAGAAATCACAGGTGGTGCTTGAAAAATATATTAAAATATTACACATAACGGAGGGAAAACTGAGTTTTAAAGGGGAAAATATTATTTTTATTTTGACGAAAAAATAGCATTGACACCTAGAAGAATTAGGGGTTTATTAAAGGGATTGTTCACCTACAAAACAAAAATCCGGTTATCATTTACACACCCTCATCACCTTTAAGATTTTTTTTTCGAAGAGCATTTCAACTGTTTTTGTCTATATAATGAAAGTCAGTGGGGTCCAACATTGGACTTTCATGGTATGGAATATATATGAAACACTGAGACATTTTTCAAAATATCTTCTTTTGAACATGACAAGAGAACGAGTAAATGATGACAGAACTGTCGTTTTTGGATAAACTATGCCTTTAACTTGTTACTTTCAATGTAACACAATTAGTTACTTTGGAAACACTTTACAATAAGATTCCATTAGATAATGTTGGCAAATGTGTTAACTAACATTTATTAACAATGAGCAATACATTTGTTACAGTATTTACTAATCTTTATTAACGTGTATTCATGTTAACTCAGGTCAATTAAATATTAACAGTTACAACTTTTAACAGTGCATTATTAAAGGTTGAAATTAACATAGACTAAGATTAATAAATGCTTTAGAAGTATATTTTATTGTTAGTTCATGTTAGCTTTTATACTGAGTAACACAATATTGTAAGAACTTTTTTAAGTAAAGTTTCCAGGCATTTTTTTGTTTTACACTTTTCTGAAAAACTAAACTAAAAGCAATATTCTTATGGCTATAAAATAAAAAAGTCCTAATATAGTTCACACATAGCTTGTTTTGTATATGTGTTCATGTATTTCTGATTTCTGCTAAAGAGCTCTCATGTTCTGGAGGAAACAAAATCTGTACTATTTCTTTCGCTCTATTTTTCTTCCCACAGGACAGTTTTATTCTCCCTTTTCTTCTTTTTGAAGAGAATGTGTTGCTACGAATCAAACACACAACAAGTCCATAGCAAGACCAAAGAGGTGATGTAAAAGTAAGACATCTTAGTGCACACACACATACTGTCTGACAACTTCTCAATCGATTATGCTTTTGCTCTTTCTCTCTGTGATCGGACATGACAGATGCCCTTTGCCTCCCACACTGGAGAAACAGATGCCGGAGAGAATCAAAGCGCCCTCCACTCTGACATCCTGCTCTCCACTGCCTCACACTTCCTCCATACTTCTCTCACTCCATACATTCTTCCTCAGGTCCCAGAGGACAGTATTAGTTTAGTGTACATATGGTATCTATGCTCCTGAGTTGCACAGATGCTGAATAAAGGTTTGTCTAGTTTCACAAGGCCAGTTTTATTTATTTATTTATTTATTTTTATTATAAGCAAGGCTGGTCCACTATAGCTCATTCTAGGTAAGAGTCACACATTTTTGAAGAGAACCGACCATCTGATCTGACCAACTATAGTGACCAATAGTGACACTTTTACCTGAAACTGATGCTAGCAAGACAATAGACCAGAATTCAAGTAACTACAAGTTCAAGTCTACAAGTACAAGTCTACAAGTCTCCATGAAACTGGTAATACAGGGGTCAATGACATGACCCTCAGTTTTTTTTTTTTGGTCCGGATATCAAAAACGCTTTTGTCATTTCTGAATTTAAAATGAAATTTTTTATAGCATCAAGTCAAAAATGATTGCCCTGATATCATAATAGAAACACACACACACACACACACACACACATTTAAATACAAATTTAAAGGGGTCATGAACTGCAGAAGATTTGTACATCAAAAAAACATAATATTTTAGCAGTAATAGGCTATTTTCTGTCCTGTTTTGACCCCCTCTCATCGGAATGCTCTGTTTGAATAGGCGTGGT